AGAACAGAACAGAACAGAACAGAACAGAACAGAACAGAACAGAATAGAATAGAATAGAATAGAATAGAATAGAATAGAATATAGAAAATGAATAGAATAGAATGTAGAATATAGAGAATAGAATAGAACACACTAGAATGTGGAATAGGAGTAGAAATAGAAATAAATAAAAATAGAATAGAATTTTTTATTGGCCATGTCTGATTGGACACACGAGGAATTTGTCTTCAGTGCATAAGCTCTCAGTAATGTGATAAATCATCATAGTCATTATAAAAACATTCATCATGAATCGTAAGATACAACACTTAGTGATAGTCTTAGGATACTAAATAAGCGATCCAATTCATACTAGGAAACTAAATAAAAAAATATGAATGGTAAAGATACAAGCAACGAGGCTATAGTCGTAAGTAGAAAGGAGGTAGGTAATAGGAAGGATGAGAAGAGTAGTAATAATACAGTAAATAGTTTGACAGTGTTGTGGCAATGAGTAGTTTAGCAGAGGGATGGCATGTGGGGAAAAAAACTGTCCTTGTGTCTAATTGCAAGAGATCTAAATTACCTAAGAAGTCTTGAGTTAAAGGACAGCAAATGCTAAACTAGTTTTTCTTGGGTTTTATCAGGCAATGAACTTTTTTCCTAAGTTAGAAATTAAAGCTGGCCTCCAAGTCATTCCTAAAGCAGACAAGTGTATTTCAAAGAAAATGTGAAGTAAACATCGGACATAGTGATCAAACTTGAGTAGTAGTGTGTTTTAAAACATTGCGAGAAATCCATTGCAACATCCAATGTCCATCATGGCTATTTAGCAATCAGGTTAATCTGTAGTACAGGGTTTGAAATGCACAGTCCTTGGTATCTCCTTGAGCTTGGTGGTTTCCTTGCAGACATTTCATGATCCAACTAGGTAACATCATCAGTGCTGATGTTGTTATGTAGTTTTGATAATGAAACGTCTGCAAGAAAACCGCCAAACTCAGGGAGCCTCAAGGACCCTTCAGTCAGATTAATTGCACATTAGTTCTGCTAAACTTCTAAATATCCAGAAATAATTGGTTTAAAAATAGAACTTAAGCCTGAAATGTTCTTATTAGGGATAATCAGAGGTGAATAGAAGAAAGACATTGAATATATAATAATACATATACTGACAGCAGCTAGAATAACATATGCCCAAAAATAGAAATTAGAGAGTAGTCCCACAGATAATATAATTATAAAGAAAATTATGGATTGTGCAGAAATGAATAAACTTATAATGGAATTGCAGGAGAAGGAAGAATACTATACTGTCTGGGGAAAATGGTATGTTTGGTTAGATAACAGGAACAAAAGACAATACAAAATGTAAATGATGTGTGTGTGTGTGTGTGTGTGTATGTGTGTGTGTAAATATAAATGGAAAAATTGATGCCACAACTTACTGCAAAAATTGTATATTGATTTGTTTTTAAAAGTGTAAAAATTCAATAAAAAGTATTTTTAAAAAAATCCAGATTTTTCAAATCCAAGTATTGCAAATATTTTGAGGAAGTTTGTTGAGATCCTAATTTGTTTAAAGTATCCATGCTGAGTTTGTTCTGTTTTTGTAAACATTTGGCTTTCATGCAACCAGTGCAATACAGCATTGTTTCTCCTGGAATACTGTTCGCGTTAGTTTTTGTTTCTAGAAACAGTTTGTCTTTTGTGGTCTTCCAGGCACCAGAATTTCCTGAATTTTCCCTTAAAGTTGAAGAGGCCATCCATTCCTTGGGAGGCAGTGTTTTCCCGAAGCTTAATTGGAGCGCTCCAAGGGTAATTTGAATTGAATTTAAGGGCAAATTTACAATTCCCGGAAACGTTTCCCTGCAAATTATAATTTCATTTTATGACTTTCTTGTTTTTTTTTTTTCCTTGAAAAGTTTCACTTCTCGTCCAAGAAGCTTTTCCAGTTCTGACTTTTGGGATGAAGTTCAGCTTTGTGACTTCAAGCATCCCAGGGCCTTTTTTTAAAAAAAGAACGTTATTTCATTTAATCTGCAGTTTTAATCTGCAGTTTTATTTTCTCGTGTCTTTGAGAATTGAGGGAGACAGAATCAAATATCGCATTGCAAGTTCTATTCAGATTCTCAGTCAAGATTTATTCAGCCCTTGAAAAGAAAAACCTACCAAAGCTGTCCCTATTATTATATTAATTTTTGTGAGGATGATAGCGTCTCCAACATGAGACTTCATTTTTAGATGGTAACAGATAGTCTTTGATTTATGACCAAGTCAATGGGGAGGCCAGATTCACTTAACAACTGTGTGACTCACTTAACAACTTCATGGATTCACTTAGCCATGCTGGCACAAGAAAGGTGGAGAAATGGGGCAAAACTCACTTAGCAACAAAAGTTTTGGGCTCAATTGTGGTCGTAAGTCAAGGACCATCTGTATTTAAGCATCTTTGAGAAGATGCATCTCAACTGTTCAGGAAGGTTCCTTGGAGAAGAAAGGTTCTGAATTTTGAAGCAGACATTTTCAGTTTTAAGTTTTGAATTCTGAAGCATTTTTAAGTTCTGAATTTTGAAGCAAACTTTTTAAGTTTTAAGTTCTGAATTTTGAAGCAGACATTTTCAGTTTTAAGTTCTGAATTTTGAAGCACACATTTTAAGTTTCTGTTCTGAATTTGGAAACAGACATTTGAAGTTTTAGGCCTTTCCTTTGCAAAAGTTCTCCCTCTGACCAACATTAAAAGAAACGGAATTTAGATGGATAATGCAGCAAGGGTTCTATAAATTGTGTGGTTTAAAAGGACCCCGCTGTGCTAATCTGCTAAAATCCCAATTTACCCTACAAACCAGCATAAATCAACTTGAACAAAGCCTTGTACATTTTCAGCGGGGTGTTAAACAGATTTAGGGGAAAGTTTAAAAGTTTAGCTTCTGCAACCTCCTGAATGAGTTATTGTCATGCAGAACAGAGACTTCTGAAGAAATTGGACAATTAATCTGTTTTCTTTAGGACGCCTACTGGATCGCCATGAATAATTCCCTGAAATGCAACAGCCTCAGTGATATTTTCCTGCTTTTGAAAAGTTCGGATTTCATCACTCGTGACTTCACTCAGCCGTAAGTTTCGTCACAAAGGATCTGCCCTTTTTTGAACAGGGAGATTAAAAAAAAAACCTCCCACTATATTGTTTGCTTCCTTTTCTTCCCTTGTGTCTCTCCTGGAGACCAAAACATATGAAGAACAGCTGCAGGATTTGGGTTTGGCCAGTCTAGAGAAAAGGACTAGGGAAAGGTTAAAGGTTCCCCTCCTCGCACATCCATGCTATTCATTTCTGGCTCTAGGGGGCGCTGCTCATCTCCATTACGAAGCCGAAGAAGAGCCAGCACTGTCCGAAGAGGTCTCCATGGTCATGTGGCCAGCAGGACTAAATGCCTGCGAAGGCACACAGAACGCTGTTCCCTTCCCACTAAAGGGGTCCCTATTTTCCTACTTGCATTTTTTTACCTGCTTTCAAACTGCTAGGTTGGAGAAGCTGCTGGGACCAGTAACGGGAGCTCACTCCGTGACACAGCGCTGGAGATTTGAACTGCCAAACTGATCGACAAGCTCAGCGTCTTAGTTAGGGGGGACATAATAGCAGTATTCCAATATTTGAGGAAGGGGTCATCTTATTTTACAAAGCACCTGAAGGCCACACAAGAAATAATGGATGGAAACTAATCAAGGAGAGAAGCAAATAACAGATAACAGACAGAGTTAGAAGGGACCTTGTAGGTCATCTAATCCAATCCCACATCCAAGCAGGCAACCTGACACCATTTCTGACAGATGGCAGTCCAGTCTCTTCTTGAAAACCTCCAGTGATGAAGTTCCCACAACTTCTGAGGCCAACTTCTGTTCCATGGATTGTTTGTTCTCACTGTCAGAAAATTTCTCCTTATTTCCAGGTTGAATCTCTCAGTTGCCATCCATTATTCCTTGTCTGGCCTACATGTGCTGTAGAGTAGAGTAGAGTAGAGTAGAGTAGAATAGAATAGAATAGAATAGAATAGAATAGAATAGAATAGAATA